TGATAGTGGAAGGATCTCCTCATCTCTCTTTGCCCCCCCTTTTTTCTTTTAACCAGATAACCCTTACTTATTGACAGGCGATGCCCTTAATGTGGAGTTCGTCCTTTACCCAATCAATGATATATATATATATATATATATTTATGCAATCTAACGTTATCTAGACAATAAAAAAAGAACCCCTTGTACATAAATATTTTATTTCCACAAATCCCACAAAAAGTCAATCAAGTAAAGGAAGAATTATACCAACATAGGAAGTTAGGAACAAAATGGGAAAATGAAACCCCGAATAAAATACTGATTATATAATGATGATGAGATTAAGAAGGTTTTCTTGACAATTCATCAGCACCCTGAGTACGGCATCATTCAAGTCTTTGAAACAAAACCATACATCGTCTTAATCTTTTATTATATTATTACTACACAAATAAAATAATCAAGCAAGGCGCAATCCATCCACATGGGACACGGGCATGCTTCCACACTGTAAACCTGTAATTTTTTACCATGTCAAAACTCATTAGCCATGTCACATGACGACCATTGAAGATTTATCTATTGTTCGGTAGAGGAGAATGGTGTTGATAACATTTAATTTAATACCAAGATGATTGGTTTATCCAACTTCATCATGTTCTATTTTATATCAAGACAAGACAAGACAAGATGGTTAATTCCATGCATTATTAATAAAATATTTCTTGAGTCTTACAGAACAATTAAAAAATTTTAATATGAAACTTTCAAATTCAAATTATAAGACAATATATGTATGATTTTTTGAATAAGTTATTGGTTTTGTTTAGAAAACTAGTTACTCTAAATAAGTTTGCAACGGTTATAGCCATTCAATAAATTATCGAAGGTATTCTAATTTTTTTTATAAATAATTAATTGTGGTATTTAAAAATATAAATATTTAAATTAATTTTAATTTATTATATAATAAATATTAATTATTTTAAACTTATTGTCACTAGAAATCTTCCAATTTTATAAAGAGAGTCATTATCATCCTTCTACTTAAAAGCAATTCATAATGATCTCTCAACTTTAGAAGAAGGGCCAACCGTAATCCCTCCATTGAGCAGATATTATAACACCGTAAATTCGTCACGTTCCTTCATGTGGCTCAAGTTGTCACGTTTTTTTTTATGTGAGAAGTAAGATGAAACGCAGCACATGATCATTAAATCAACTCATCGACCAATACTTGAACAGATATTAATTTACTAATCATGTTTTCTATCGTGAAAAAAAAAAAACCGTAAATTCACCAGTTAAATCCACCAAATTTTAATGGTAAAATGACATTAGTTGGCCCTTTAACTTTATTTTTTATGCACTTTGATCCTCAAAATTCAAATTTATTCAATTTAATCCCTATTTTTAACTTTTTTTTTTTATTATAGTATAGTTTCCAAACTTTTGAAAGAGATGCACTTAAATCTTAAATTTTTAATTTCATGCTTTTTGATTCTTTTTTTTTTTTGCGTAAATAATAAATATTATGTAATTTTTAATAAAATCACATTTAATTATTCAATTCATTCAAATATTAATAAAATCAAGCATACAATAGTAAACTAAAACATATAAAATTATATAATCAAAGAGTAAAATCAACTTTTTAATGCCATTTGTTCCAAAAATATTTTTAATATTCAAATTGAAATCCTATAAAGTATTATATCTAAAGTGATAAAATAGTGAAGGATATAGATACGAATTGTAAGTGTGGTGTAAATGTGGCCATGAAAATTTAATGGTCTAATGATAATGACTTTGGGCGATATTTGTATGGTTATAAGTGTATAACAATGAAAAGAAGACAAACATATCTTAATTACCTTCTTTTTTTATCATAATGTTAATCCTTGTTTTTTTTCCTTAATGTGAGTTATGCATATGTAGTTAGCTAAATGTCCTTTTTTAATTTTTAAGAATCTCAAATTAGATATTACAAATGTGATTTTTCACTTTAGTTAAATGAATTTTATATATTTTAGTTCATTATTTCATACTTTATTTTATTGATTTTTAAATGAGTTAAATACTTAAATGTGATTTTATTGAAAATTACATAATTTTTATTATTTGTGCATAAAAGGACGAAATGTATGATATTTTAGAAATTTTGAGATTTAATTGCATCTCTTTCAAGAGTTTGGGAACCAAATTGTAACACAGAAGTTAAAATAGGGATTAAATTGAGTAAATTTGGATTTTGAGGATCAAAGTGCATAAGAACTAAAGTTAAGGGGCTAACAAAGTTATTTTACCATTAAATTTTGGAGGATTTTACCGCAAGCTGAATTGATAGTAAACCTGTAAACCTGTAATTTTTTACCATGTCGAAACTCATTAGCCATGCCACATGACGACCATTGAGGATTTATCTATTGTTGGGTAGAGGAGAATGGTGTTGGTAACATCTAATTTTATACTAAGATGATTGGTTTATCCAATTTCACCATATTAATTTAATATCAAG